TCCATGAGGCTCAAAATTTCACAATTACGAAACTAAGCTCAATTTCGAACAATAATCTGCAAACACAAACAATTTTAATGTGTGGAAGAAAAAATAAAAGGGTACCTCAAGGACGCCTCGAGAGAACAGGGAATAATGGGGACCCCTCATTTCAGTAACGCCATAGCGACGAGGTTTCTCCGGACGATCTTCTTCCTCGTCGTTGAAACTCTTCCACCTGTATGCTGCCATCTTTTTCCTGCTCCTCCTAATTCACACACACACACACAGAGGAGAGAAATGCAAGTTCGCAGAAGAACAATTTATCAATTTGTTTAGGACACCTTCACAATTTCTGTATGCTTAATTATTCGATTATGAACTCGAAGAAGGTTGTAGCGGTTTCTAGAACCCAACACTAGCTTTTTCGGTTATGACAGCGATATATATAGCGGAAAAGAGTTCTCCAGTTTGTTCCTTTTGACACGTATGATTTCTAGATTTTGTGACATGGACAGTTTTATATTTCCGTGACCTTTGTTTTCCAGTTTGTAAAAAAGGAATATTATTTTATTTCATAAGATATTTAATAAACTTTAATTATTATATTTACTGGAAAATGTGAAAAAAGAGTTTTTGACTTAAATCTTGCTGGTTAAAGTTTTTTCTTTATAAAAGAGTTTAATTTCTTCTTTTATAAATATTTGATTGAGACCAAAATCATCCAACGGGTCAAAGGTCATACTTTATAACTACATTTATTCCTGGAGAAAAAATGAAAAATCATCACCTTCTATTTTGGTACAATCACCCAAATGTAAGAGTTTATATATTGAAAAAATAATGTAAATGGTGAAAATCTATCTTCCTCTTTACAACTTTCTATTTTTAATTAAGTAGATAAATAGCAAATCCTGAGATGGACTGTTAATCCTTAATTCATTGGATGCTCTTTTCGTAGCCTAATGCAACTTTATTATAGTATTTTCTAAGAATGAGCTGGGCCTTAATGATTTTCACAGGGATCCCATTTGCAAGGTCCACCTTTTAGAATAGTTACCTGAGTTTGTATTTTAGTTCCAAAGAATTTTGAAATGCATGATTTACTTAATAAACTATTGCTTCTTTCTACAGTTAATTAAACTATCTAGTGAATACTGACCAATGTATAAATTTTTTTCTAATAATTTTTAGTTATGAAAATTGTTACTCATCTTCCAAGAAGTTATATATGCAGAGCTATACTATTTTAGTTTAGAGATGGTGAAAATGTCAAAACTAGAATATTTGAAAACTCAAGTCTTAGGTAATATGAATAAGGGGAAATAAAAAGAAAGATGTAAACACAAACGCAGAAAAAATTGATAATTAAAGGAGTAGCAGTTTCAGTTTATATATCAATCATAAATCTTGGAATCAGCTTAAGTCTTTTTTTGTTTTTGTTTTTCAACTCATTTTATTTAATTTATATGTAATATTTTTTTTAATTCAAAGCAGATCTAAAGCACAAAAAGAAATATCTTTGCATGCCCATACTCTAATTCGAAATTCTTCTCTTTCTTTCTATTCTAGCAAGTTCACTCTTGATAAAGAGGCGATCAATACTTATGAGTTTATTATATATGCATGATCCGATCCGAACAGATTATATTACTTGCTATATATAAATAGAAATTTAGGTTAATGACATTTCTTGATACTGATCGAACGCATTTACTTGCTATATATAAATAGAAATTTAGGTTAATGACATTTCTTAAAGATACAAACCATCTCAAGATTAAGATTGGACGAAAGCTGCAGTAACATGCAAGTGAATATGAGCCCGTTTGGATTAGCTGATTGTAAATAGCTGATAATAAGCAGTTGATGTGTTTGATTAAAAAATGCTGATAAGCTCTTGAATCTTTTTCAAAAGATTATAAATTAAAAATTTCTTTGTAAAGAAAAGAATTAATAACGAATATGGAATGAAGAGAAAGTTAAGAAATTTATTTTGGGAAAAGTATTTTGTGAATTAGAAAATATTATTAAGGATAAACTAGTAAAAGTGTTGGTCAAATTAAAAGTGCTTATAAGTTGGAAAGCCATAAGTTGGGGGTGACCGGCTTATGACTTATAGCTTATTTTAGCTTATAAGCACTTGGCTTATAAGCACTTTGAGTGTTTACCAAACACGTAGATAAGCCAAAAGGTGTTTATAAGCCAGTTTGACCAGCTTATAAGCTTAGCCAAACACCCTCTATATATGGCTTTAACAAATTAGAGAATAACAAAATTTTAGAGCTGTCTAAATTGCTGGGGATACCCTGCTTTCCTTGTTCCCCATGAAAGGAATCCAAATAAATCTAAAGAGCTAAAAAGAAACTAAAGTAGAATAAAGATGTCTTTCAAGACAAAGGAAGACTTTTTCTCCATAATCCCAGCTAATCTTAACTCATATATCATACAGCATTATTAGGTTTCTTGCATCCATCTCCTTTATTCAGATTCTCACGTTCGACTCAATCTTTTTCTGTATTCATGAATTTCTACATTTGTACTAACTCCTTATATAAGGGTGTCTCCTGTTTTTCTATGAAGACTATCAGCCTCTCTAACCTGAAAGCAATAACTAGATTGTTAAAGAGATGGCTAAAAACATTGGCATTCTTGTTTGCCTTCTTCTTGTGATTTTGGATGTTGCAGCTGGTATACTTGGAATTCAAGCTGAGGTAGAGCAAAATAAGGTAAATTTTCTTTGATTCATGCATGTACAACTCAAAAAGAATCATTGATTTATAAGTAAAATTTTCATCTAGATGAGGAAATTGACATACATAATCTTGATATTGTTTAGTAACGGCAAGTCCTTGATTTGTTGGAACAGGTTTCAGAATTAAAGGTGTGGATCTTTGAATGTAGAGATCCAAGCTATGAAGCTTTTAAGCTGGGATTGGCTGCAACTGTACTTTTGGTTCTGGCACAAGTTATTTCTAATCTGCTTGCTGGTTGTATTTGCGTCCAGTCCCAAGAAGAGTTAGATAAGGCCTCTTCTAACAAGAAACTTGCGTTCGCTTCATTTGTATTCCAATGGTAATTTCCAAATCCTCCTCCCTTTTTCTTCTGTTTAACCATCTGATATTCGAAAGCTTTTAAGGCCGACTAATTCCGATTCACATCCCGAGTGGCCCATTAAGAGGAGTGGTCAAAACGCTCATCAGGGGCGGATTTAGGGGTTCGCCGGATAATTACACCGTACATATAAGGCAAAATCCGATTTGTACCTCTATATATTATATTTTAAGGCAAAATCCGGTTTGTACCTCTATATATTATTTTTTGAATCCTCTTGATACTGTCTAAAAGCATAACTCCGTGGTCAAGGAAGTTCAAAACCTTTTTTTAGATTGTTGGTTCAATTCCCACTAGCCATAGTTTCTTTTAATATTTTAACTTTTTTCCTTTTTTGAACCCCTTAGCGAAAATCCTGCTTCAGCCACTGCTGATACCGGGACATTCTCTTTTCCTTAGAGGTTCAAACCCGAGAACTCTAATTCAGAGTGGAAAGATCTCAACCATTCCACCACGCTTTTCGTGGTAGCAATGATAGATCTATTATGGTAATATGGTGACAGTAGATTCTCCACATTTGCTAACTTAAATTCTAAATTCTCTCTGCTCATAAATCATGCATGCATGATATCTTGATCTTTGTTTATTTATTATAATCGATAGCTGTATATAATTTTTTTTTTTTTTTTTTTTTGAAACTAGGATAATCATGGGCATTGCATTCGCATTGCTGGTAGCTGGAACAATGTCAAACGGGAAGGCGAGAAAATCTTGTGGGATATCACACCATCGTTTCTTGTCGATAGGAGGGATATTGTGCTTTATCCATGGACTTTTCTCAGTTTCCTACTACATCTCTGCTACTGCAACTATCCAGGAAGATAAGAAGCTTAATCATCAACAAGGAAGCCATGCATGAGTTAAACAAATTACTCTCTTCCAATATGCCGCCTTCACTAACGAGAATTAGATTAATCCAGTGCTCCATACTAGAGAAATGAAAGCAGAATATCTATGGAAAATTCTTCATAACCGGATACCATATATTCCTTTTTAAACTTCCTAATATTTCATGTAACATTTTCTTGAATTTTATGTTGTTTGTAACTTTTTCTTGACTCTAATGTAATTTTTACTGGACTGCTGAAATCGTTCCTACATTATTCGTTGCGAATTTGTTATGTTTTTCTTAATTGTTAGTATAATCACATGGATTAAGATTGGTAGATCAAATATAAAAATGGGTACATTAAGATATATAGTATCTATTTTTATATAGTAACTTTTAGTGTAAAACATCTGTGACTGGAAGACAAACAAAGATAATACTATCACCAGGTTCATCAAGAGCAAGCAAATTAAAAGTTGACTGGTTGCTGGATTCCACACGACATACTTGTTAGAAGAGTTAATGCATCATGAAATTTATACAGCGTACTTGATCCATCGATTTCATGTTCATAATATGTCCTCGGCAAACTGCAAATGTCAGCTTAGTCGTTTCTCCCAGAAGCGGAGAAGACATTAAAACCATTGTTGGTGTAGATCAAGAAGATCCATCATACTTTTAATAATTAAATCTTCAATGCGTTCTTGGCAACAGTTTTCGGGCCTAATTGTAGTACTAGTGTATAATTACGGTAGTTCGTTGCCTGCTATTAGCATCCTTGTTATTAGTCTATCCTTGTGCATGCTAATACTATGCTTAGCCTTCAAGTACTTAACTTGAGTGAGCAGGACGGCTATATATGTACATCTTGAAAGCTAGGTTTTAGTCACGTAGTTCCTGTTTATGCAAGCAGTAGGGACTTGAGACTGGAGATCTAATGAAACTTCCATAGCAGAGGTAGAATTTGTAAGGAAAACCACTAAAAGATTAGTCTTTACATTTAGGCTGAACATCAAGTAAGCTGGAACCGTGTGTTTTTGCTCACAGACCTCAATTAAAGTGAAACTCCCAGTCAAAATTCACAAGCAAAACTTAGGGTGAGGCTCTCAGGTGAAGCACTTATTGTTTCAGATTTTTAAACAGTTCTTCCAAAATCATTCTTCACAATTGGATTCAAGAAGTATTCGATAACTTACAGGAAGTAATAACATACTAGTACAGAAAAGCTTTTTTAACCAAGGTTGGCCAAAACATCATTTAAGGTAGATACAGTATCAGCATAGTACTTCTCCGCTTCAGGGCTGTTCTTGGTCTTTGCTGCATGGTCCAGCTGAGGAAGGAAAAGAACAGATTGTTAAAAGTATGCGAAAACATAAGCAGCCCTTTGGATTTCTATGCACATAATTTCACTACTTTTGAAATACTATGACATAGACATTCATGTAACCAAGAATGTAGAGATTTGACTTACATCACTAATTGTCTTCAAGAGCTTTCCAGTCAGGTCCTGGAGTTTTCCCTTCTCTTCTTTTGGCTTAGCAGAGATGACGGTCTTAAGGTCATAGCGAAGGTATTCTGCTCTGAGACGAAGGTCATTCTGGACATATGGCCAGGCCTTCTTGTCGATGAAATTCTTGACGCTAACAATCTCCTTGGCTGAATCCTTAACTCTCTGGGCTGCCTCAGCTGGAGTCAATGGTTGAAGGTAAAACCTCTCCTTCAATGGCAAATCAAGGTCCCTTGCCTCATCTGAATTCAAAGTTCCAGCTGCCAAAATCCAAATCCTCAGCATGAGTACAGAAATTCCAAATGCCATATGACACTTAAATTGTCTTTTCTATTTCTAGTAACCATTCTTTATAGTTCTGAATTGTTGGAATTTGTTGTATATCTTATTTTACCAAAATGAGAAACCAATCATATTTCAACTGCATAACTACTTCTAAAGATCCATCTGGTTTATTGCATTTGGCCTTCATAAAATGCAAAGCACAAAGATTGATTTTCAAGGCAAAAGTACTAATTCAAATTTGAATCCAAAAGAAACTAGGAGTAGTACAAGATTTCAAATATCACTTATTGATTAGTTTCCACATTTTCCAAATTTGGGAAGTGTGTGTCCTTTTGTATCACTTATGAAATCTATTGCTTCAAATTTAATGTTTGAAAGCTTTTCTACAATCGCTTCTCACGAAATATTATAAAAATTAGAAGGGACAAGTTACAGACCCTTCAAAAGGATTGGAATACTCTTGTCAAATGTAATCTTTGACTACTTACTATGAAGCCCCTCCTGTTCTTTTTCCTCAAGCTTAATTCCCTCTTTTAATTCACATAAGGACAGGGGCGAAGCTATGTTGGCCCAAGGGTGGTCAACTGACCACTCTTCGCTGAAAAATTATGTTACGTATAAGGTAAAATATTACTTGTTATTGATTAAAAATAGACTTTGAACACCCTTGCATAGCTCACTGGCAAAGGATTTCTCTTTATGACACGATCTAGTAACCTTAATCTATTCCTTGGTCCAGTGAAGGTTCTAATCACGGAAAAATTAAGCAAAATTAAATGAATTGAAATGCAACATTGGAGAGTCACTCTTACATCCTGTCCTGGATATGTGAATCTTGCTATTAATTGTCTGTAAGTATATCTATTATGATATTATTATTGTGTCGCTCCAGTAATCAGTGGCGGATCTAGACTAGACACAAAAGGTTCGACAAAACCCTTAACTACATATATGCGTGTTTGAATTGAAAAAAATTGGAACATCAATAAAAAAAACAGAACCCAATGACTCTAATTGATTCACCACTGGGAAAGAAAGGAAAAAGGTAAATAAAGACCTTAACCAAAAGCGAGACGACTTACGTAATCCACCAGAGGGAGGAGGAGCGCCACCAATCTTGATTGATTTAGCTGCAGCAAAGGCTGCTTGAGCAAAGGAACCAGCAAGGCCAGCAGCAACAAGACCGATGACGGCTCTACGGCTAGTTTCAGTGTCAGCAGACCCCTGTTGGGCTCTAATGCTGAGTCCTGGTCTAGCCAAGGCAATTCTGCTGGTGCTAACAGTGCTCAAACGGGCTGAGCCACTGAGCTGACCATCCAACACAGTTTGAGAAGAACCAATTAGGCCACCCATTGAAGCCATAGCATGAGCCATTTTGGTGAACTATCTGAAATTTGTTTCAGGCAAGGGTGATAGAAGTAGGGGGGGGGAAATTATAAGTTAATGTTGTGGTACGTATGATGTGGATATTGCAATTTCTGGTGTTTGTGATGCAGAGTGAATACACTAAGATCACCTTATCTGTCTTTGGATATGCCATGAGCCAATCAGTGCCTTGCTTCTTGACATGTTGGATCAGGTTCTTTTTCCAGCTGTAGCATCTTGACACATGGACCAAGAAGATTTTGGATATACACGTCATCGCGCATTAGAAATATAGGTTGATGAAACAAACTTCTAGAG